CACATTACAGAACAGAGACGCATTTAAATCTGACTTCCTCTAACAAACACATTCGGTTCAGTACCTTCACATTAGGTTCAGATGAGCAGAACGACCCACTGAACACTTCATGTTTTGAGATATACACATGTTTTGGTGCAGACATAACATATTACTCAGCCTTGAAACAAAACAAACAGGTGCTAATTCCTCCCTATGAGGTTTTTAAAGTCATTGACATCCAGCAGAATACACAGAGGTGTAAAACCATCTACAGACTGAAGAGCAACCTGAACTGTGTTTATGATAGAGGGAGCAACACATTGCATTCAATATCTGCTTTACCAGTGGAGGGATTCTGGCTAATATTTGCCATCATTTGTATTATTATTGTAACTCTTCTGCTCCCCTTTGTCATTGTGAAGGTGTTGGACTACCATAAGAAAACTACTATTTACAGTGCTTCATTTTTGTACATTTACAGTCCTGGAGTTGTTATTTAAATTGAAACTATGTTAATAGCAATCTCAACCAGCATATTGCATATTTGCAATGTATACATTTTGGAAAAATCCATATTTTCACAATGTAATATTTACAAATTGTGTTGGCCATTACTGTACATCGCACTGTACTGTACATTCACACTTATTTGACATGTTGTAATACACTGCTCTGTCACTAAATACATACACTAACTTAGTGTCAATCTTGATATTGGTAGATGTCTGTGTGCTTGGAAATTGGTATTCTTTTTTTCTGCTTGAGTCATGAAATGTGGAAGTTATGACTTATGTCTTTCTGGATAACAGGATGTTATGAAAAGTAGAAGTGATACAGTGTGATATTTAAATATTGAAACATTGTTGTGGTACTTGACCTGGGCCAGTAAAGGACACCACTGATGATTCCCTTATCTTTTGTAAAAGAAAGAAAAAACACAAAAAAGTCTCTTCAGTCAGAAGCAAGACATTGGATTTATTGTAAAAAGGTCACAAAAAGCAATATTTCTTTTAATGGTCTGCGGTGCAGAACAGTTTACAGAGCTCTTACAGCTTAGTTTATACTCTCTACATGCACCATCTTGTTTCTCCAACCATCATGAACATGTCCAAAACTCCACTAAGGTGACAAACAGTAACAGGCGACACATCACTCTGTCATTCAAACATGTCCAGCTCATTAAAAGGTTCATAAACACATTAACCTGTCACAGAGTGTTGTCTTAAAAATAATAAACATTCATATTAAAAACTTAGCTGGTCACAGGATGACATCTTGAAAACAATGAATATTTACCTCAAAGGCTCTTTCCTATTCCTCCCTCTCTGGGCTGTGACAGGTGTCCTTGTGCTGCCTTTTAGCCTGGGCTGCAAAACTGGGCATTATCTCAAGGTCATGCTTACACACAGAGAGTCGCCCTCGGTCATCCATATGCACCACACCACTGGGCGAATATAACAAGTACTGATGAATAATTGAAGTAAACTAAAATAGCATGAAGTAAAATGTAATAAATATGATGAATAGATGAGGCTGAAACTAATCTAGTACCTTAGCCGTCTTGGTCTCCCACAACATGTAGCAACTGACTTGTCCACCCAGTGTCTGCACAGAGGTGACGTGATGGAACGTCTCAGTAAAGGGTGTGGATGTATGTATATACTTATCTTTGGTTTGGGGTCCGTTTGTGTACTTGGACTCATGGTCCTGTGTATACTGTCACAGCACTTGAGAAACTTCCACTTTGCCACATGTACATGTAATTTATGCTCTGGTTATTTGGAATTCATGTAACATAATGAATTAACATAAAGAAGCATACAAAATGTTAATGTTAATGTTTGAATTAACACTGACTTACACCACTGTGATTATAGTGTTACTTGGTTTGGGTTTTCACGCTGTTTGATTCTGACCAGTGGCGTTGTTTGGTCTCATCATTCGGGGTTCCACCCCCAAATATTTTAGACTTGCCCTGAAACAGGAAGAATTTTAGTGTAGGTAGAACTTTGTAGGAGAGCTGGACTTTGCTTGCATTGCAGGCTGGGATGGGTGAGTAATTTAGCAAGGGGAAAACTGAAGATTAATAATTAAGTGTACATATTAAACAATACTGAGACTGTGTTGAAGTCCAAAATGGCAGACAAACCAAGACTCCTCCTTAAGAGGTTTTCAGATAGGACGTGGTATGCGCTGCACTGGCCGCAGGGGTTGGGCGCAGCACAGGGGAGGAAGGCACATACGTGCAAATCATTCACATGTTGGGCGCCAGTTGCCAGGCAACCAAAAGGCTTTCCAGGAGGTAGTTAGCAGATATTAACTAGTTTTTTGACCAGTGGACTTGGATGCACCATGTGTCTATCTTGTTAAGGAAAAGCTCTGGCTTTAGTTGTATTGATGAAGAGGAGGAAATGAGCTGCAGCAAAGAATTGGGGAATTTGGAGGTCAAGGTTTCCAAGCAGAGCATTGCCCAGAGCATCGCATTGCTCCGTAGTCCTGCTCTGACACTCATATGCTCCCTTTAGGGGCCTTTGAGTGATGGACTGGCCTGCAGCTACACAACCCCATACACAACAAACTGTTATACGCTGTTTGTTCTGCCAGTTGTTGATCATGGCAAGCATTAAAATTTTCAGCTTGTTCTATAATAGCTATTCTGTGAGATCAAACCACACGGGCTACTGTCTGCTTCTCATGCACATCAGTGAACCTTGGGTGCCCTTGACTCCATTGCTGGTTCAGTGCTTGCCCTTCCTTTAACCATTTTTGCTGCATAGTGAGAACATCCCCCAAGACCCATTTCCTGCTTCCAACACATCACAGCACATCATTGTACCAAGACAATCAGTGTTATTCATTTGAACATGAATTTTTTTACATAATTTTATTGTAATTGTACATAATCTTATCTGTAAAGTATAACATATTTATTCGTAAAATATAATACGGTTTTATTCCGTACAAAAAACGTTATTTTAAATGTTGTAAAAAAAAATTGTAATGTTAACTGTATTGTGTTGTTTTTTGTATAAGGGTTTTTCAGTGTTTAATCTGTAAATTCTACATAGAAATATAATTATTTTAACATATTTTTCCTTTTAATTAACAGTTTTGCTTGGTTCAGTAGTTTACTAAATATTATTGTACACAAAACACTGCTTCATTGTTTTTCTATTTACACTTTTTTGATGTCGTGATTTTACAGCACTGTTAATTTCACTGACATTTCTTACAGTGTATGATTGTAGTCTGTTTCATTTTGCTCTGGACTTTAGATGATCATCTGGTAAAGTATCTGCTGTGTCTTCAGATGCTTCATAGCTCACATGCTCTCCATTGTTCTCTTTTGCTACTTGACCCAGTCGTGTTAACAGTTCTTCATGTTCAAGGTTCTTATGCTCCAAGTGTCTGTATCTACATTTTCTGATCATGTCTTTTAATGTTTTCTTGTCTTTACCAGTTAAACCTGAAGTCTTTTTTGGTGTTAATTTCAAAACCAATGAATGATCAAATGATCGATCACTGAAAGTTTCAAGGACTTTACAGAGACTCTGTCTCTGCTCCTCAGTGAAGTCTTCAGGCTGTAGGACCAGCAGGAACACATGAGGTCCAGGATCAGAGAGTCTCACACACTCTTTTACAAACTCTGTGAGCTGGT